GGTGGCTGCCTGCCTCCGAGCCCGCTGCTCGCCGCCCAAGGAGGCCGGGTGCCTCCTGGTCTGGCTGACTGGCTGGCGAGCGGGCTGGTGGATGGCGCACCCCTTCCTGCCCCGGGCGGCTGCCTCCGAGCCCTCACTCGCCAAAGAAAGACCCTGCGGCCCGCCTGTCTGCACCCCGGGACAGCCCCGCCAAGCCATGCTTTTTTAACAGCTGATCGGCGGTTTCAAAATGGCCGCCTGCTGTTTTCTGGCACGGATTCCTCACTTAACAGGCAGTGAAAATGGCCACGCTATGGAGGATCTTCGCTGAACAGTGAGTTTGAAGCCCACAGGAACACATTAATCACGTTTTAATGGGTTTCTATGGGCTTTTTTGTTCCGCATAGTGACAAATCTGTATAGCGACAATTTTTCTGGAACGGATTATCGTCGCTATGCGGGGCACCACTGTATATCATACACAATAGTACCAAATTGCTACTTCTTCTTCATTCCCTTAAGTATGATACAAATTATGCAAGCAAGGTTTATATTTAAGGACATTATTTTACAAGTATAACTATTCAAGAGCTAAAAGAGCTCTTCTCATTAATAAATTTCACAAATATGTTCAGCCTGAAGGCTTTCCAATCTATTTAGAGGCAGCAAAACACACAGTTACATATGAGTTCCTAAATAACAAGAATTAAGCCTTCTATGTATACCTTTCTGCAGTCACAAAACACACAGGCTTAAGTCTAACAGTAAATCACAACTAGAGTAAACTAAGTTTAATGCGTTCCAATGGCATTTTGCGTCCCGTTTAGCGATGTTTCCTCATAGCACCCTAGAGTCAGACACGACTGGACTAAATGTCAAGAGGAACCTTTACTTTTACCTTCTGAGTCCTAACCTGAAGATCTATCCACTACACTACACTGTCTCTCTAAAATTTATGATTCAAAGACAGTTCAATATTCAATATTCAACATACCGCAACAAACCAAAAACAGCTATTATCATCTCTAGCTCCTATGGATTAAATGGTGCTTTGTTCAACAGATATAATTTAGGCATCCAAGGGTGGAAACCTCTAGAGTAAACTGTGACCATAATAGTTGATGTGGGTTTTTCGGGCTCTTTGGCCGTGTTCTGAAGGTTGTTCTTCCTAACGTTTCGCCAGTCTCTGTGGCCGGCTTGAACATAATCCTTTATCTGAATTATGCCCATCTAGAATGTGACTTGCCCAAGACCACAAAAGCTGGATAGCTCAGAGAGCTAGGTGAAGCCAGAGGTTGGGAGTTTAATTTCTCACTATGCATCATAGAAGACAACCTCAGGATGCTCCCAGAAGAAGAGAACAGTAGACCACTTCTGAGTATTCTTTACCTAGAAAGCCATGAAATGGGTTTTTATAAGTCAGAATTGATTCAATGGTGCACAATTATTATCATTAGAGGAGAACCATTTCTCCAGAAAAGATGAATCACTCACTCCTGGTGTCTATGTTTTGTCTAGACTGAGAAATGCTTGTGGGGAAGGGATGCTCATGCAGTCTATAACTAACCCCAGGTAACATCTTCATGCCAGATGACATAACGCAGGATTTTCAAATGGGGATTTAAGGGAAAACAAAAACTGCCCTGCAGCACACCATACCATAGCCGCACAGCAATAGTTTGCCAGCATCACCTTCTGAAAATAGCCATCCCTAAAGAAGCAGAACCATGAGAACACCGTGTCACCAATCTCCATCTTCATCAGCCAACCCAAAAGAATATTTCATTGCACCATAGTGGAAGCCACCAAAAGGTCTATTATAATCAGCAAATACACCAGCCTGTAGTCCAGTACCCCACTCCAGGACAAGCCTTTGGTTAGTGTAACCAAAGCTGTTTCAGAAGCAAAACCAAGGCGAAAATCCAAATAAAAATGGTTCCAGATAAGCATTATCATCCAAAAAGGCTTAAGGTTGCATAGCAATAATCTATTTCAGAATCTCACTCAATAATCCTATGTTTGCGACCAACTAATAGTTCAAAAAATTCAGAGGTTTTCTCAAAACTTGCTTTATGGGAGTAGTCTCAAAATTACACTCTTCAGGCAGTCAGATCTAGGGATTGTGTTCTTTCAATTTTTTGGACTGCAACCACCAGAATTCTTAAAGAATTTCCCAGACATTATTCTAGGATGACAGTACAGTATTCTGTTTGTTTTAGCACACAAACAGAAACATGCAGAGCCCTAGATCTCACTCACCTAGAGAAGTGCTTACCTCCCAGGCTGCATAAGCTTCTCCTGCTTTTGCTTCTTGTTGTTAATCTGGTTAGGGGGAAAAAAGCTACTACTGTGCTTTGGGAGGCACTCTCTATAGAGTGTACTATGATCCCAGCCTCCTCTGCACCCAGGAGGGCCTGGCCTCTACTTATTTGTCACTTGACTTGGGAATAACAGACCCTGGAAATTGTAGTCTTGCTGCTCATTAGACGTCAAAGTTAAAGAAACATAGATAGTTCCTGCGTAGTAGCTGAGCAATTCCATTCTTTGTCCTGCTCAGACTAGGTTCTAGAATCTAGACATTCCACTGAATATGTTTCATGTTTTTCACCTGCATGTCAAATGATCTGTTTAATTACTCCAGGCTCTTAATTAGTGAACCAATGAATCAAATGAGTGCTAACCTTTGGAACAGGGCAATCAGAATTGATCACATCAACCTCCTGAGTCAGCTTTACATCTAAAAGAACAACCAGTCCATCAACAAATGCACCACTAGCCCTATCAACTGGAAACTTTCCCAATAAGTTTAATATTTCAACCAACTCTGAAAGCAAATAATTCCAAATGCATCCCAAATTATGCAGAAAAAGTAAAAGCAACAAGCCAAACCTTACCAAGAGTGATCTGAAGACAAAAAAAGTCAACAAGAAATCCCCTATAGGCAGATCAACATCAACCTAACCTGCCAAAAACAGCAAGTCCAGAGTGTGACCTTCTAGGTACAGTGGTGCCCCCCGTAGCGACGTTAATCCGTTCCAGGATTAACGCCGCTATCCGGATTCTTCATCACCATGCGGGGGGGGAACCCCATAGGAACGCATTAAACTCCGTTTAATGCGTTCCTATGGGGGGAAACTCACCGGTAAGCGACGATTCCCCCATCCGGCCGCCATTTTCGCTGCCCAGTAAGCAAGGGCAGGGCGCGAAAACGCTGTGGGCGGCCATTTTGCTGATCCAGCAGCCATTTTGGAACCACCGACCAGCTGTTTTCTAAACATCGCGATACGAAGATCGTTAAGCGAAACGCTTACCAATCATCGCAATGTGATGTTTAGCCTATCTAAACATCGCAAAAAATGTGTCGCTATGCGGATTCGTAGTTAAACGGTGCGCTCGTTATGCGAGGCACCACTGTATATTCAGCCTGTTGTAGAAATGGCTCAGTTACCCTGATGCTCAGAAGGAGCCTCAACATTCAATGACAAGGCAGTCTGCCTCAGCTTGGATACAGACTAAGCGTGTATCTTTGGTGAAAATGTTCCAGAACTGCAGTACCACAGATGAAAAATGCCAAGCCCGTCAACAACCTCCTCATTTACCAAGCCTGTTTGCTTCCACTGATCCCAGGAACAAAGCTTTGAACCTCACCCCCAAGGGGGGTCCTCAAACTGTAAGTTCAGAGAGAATCATTTTGCTCCTTTTTACTGCCATGTCAAATTCATTTGACATTAATTGTACATAAATCATGAAAAGTTTAAACTAAAAAATTTTACTTACTGAATAACTGACTGCAAAGGCCTGTTGCTACTTTTCTTTGATGTAAAAATCCACTGGGTCTTGAAATATCCAGCCACTGTGCTACAGTTTTCTGCTGAGAAAGAAAAGGACATTTTTAAGAAATTAGGAAGATGTCATTTCTGTCTCTTTTACATGCTTATCTGTGTATGATGTTCATGTACATACACAATTTAACCAGTCGATAAAAAAATTCATATATCTGATTCAGAATTTTCCATCATCAAATCATCTCTCTGATATAAGATAAGGGTTGATAGAAACCATTCATCGTTTGTTAAGGTATTATTCTGATATTCGGTACTTTCAGTTACTGCTGTGCCTCAGTACTAAAGATAGTGATATGCTGGACCACATTACATCACAACATAAATTCTTCTAGTGCCATTTTGAGAGTTTGCCATTGCCATGCTTTCTCTTGGCATCCATGAAACCATTCACCAGCTCATATGCCTGGGTTCTAACCTGCCTATACTCTGGCCATTCCCTTTTCCTGCTATACACAAGACAACAACAAGGCAAGGCATCCACCATTAGTGCCAATTCTGGCCGCATTTTCCATACCTTTGAACCAGAGAATCCAGGTTGAGTTTTAGTAGCAATTAATCTCTATTTCTGTCCTTCTCTCATTGTTGGGAAGATATAAAAAGAAATATTCACTGCCTTTCTTCTTAGACCCCAAAGAAGAAATGGAGATTACTTCCCTGGTGCTATCATGCCGTACCTTTTGCACATGCCTGAGCCATTTGCTTTAAGAACTACCGGTGCCTTGGGGGCAGGAAGTAATAAAGGAGGTGAGAACACAGATGAAAAGCCGACAAACAGGTAGTTATGTCAGCTGTCATACAGTGTCTGAAGTAGCATTTCACTTGAGCTGAGACACACCTGCCTCTTTTCTCCAATCATATTTCTACATGTACTAGAGTGATTATGAGATAATGTATTGGATGCAGTGAAATTTATTATTCTGACAGTTTCTCCTTATAATATTACAAATGAACTACAAAAGATGACCTCTTCACTAGTTTTGTTTGTTGATTTGTTTGACAGTGTCTGGGAATGAAGAGTAAAGTGGATCATGGCTTTATACCAAATGCTGTTAATCTTCCCTTTGCATAATGCTGGTACACTCTGGCCCAAATACTGCAGACCTATTTGACATGCACACATTTTCATATACTAGCAAACACATTGCAATCTATTACAAAAGAACTGCTTTGTAGCTCTTCCATGCACTGTATTTATATACATGCATTCTCTTATGTTTCCATCTGCATCAGGGAGGGGAATAATTTAAAAACCCACGCATATGTTCTGTTCATATTGTCTGCACAGAACTGTCACAGTAAAAATGCATGAACTCAGAAGCATTTTTTTAAAACATGAACGGCAACAGTAAATGCTACTTACCTTCTTTTGAGGCTTACAACCTATCAGATCATCTTTTAAAAACAAAACAGGAAGAAAATTTGGAAACACTGACCAGAATCCAGTTGCTAATATTTGCTAGTGTCAGTGCAACAGTATAAAACAAGTGGTGAATTGCCACAAGTAAAGGAGTCACCACACTTTGCAGTCACATGACTTATGTGTGACAAGGAAAATAGATGGCAACTCTTTAACTAATGGTAATTCACCACTGCGATTTACACTGTTAAAGTTATACCAGTGCACACAAACAGTGGGATTCTGGCCCTTGTAAAACTAAGTCTATAAAGATAGTGGAAGTACAAGTATTTAAAGCACCATTATTTATCTCTGGTCAGTAATACCTTGAAGAAACAAGTATGCCTACTCTAGCAACACGGTTGCATAATCTAATAATATCATCCAGAACATCAGGGATCTGATAACTTGCTTATTTGCCATATTGTATATGCAATTATTTGCTAGAAATGCCCTGAGGCTTTTTACATAAGATGAACAAGCCAGTCTCCATGCAAGAGAACAAATGAACACAAATCTGATGTCAGAAATTACAATATTCAAAAACCAGTAGAGTAACAGCCTGCTAAGACATTATGACCTTTAAGTCATGGTTTTTAACAACAACTAAAAAGTCAAAGGCAAACACTACTTTAAAATTGCTGAACTACAGTTCCTCAATAGATTCAAATATAGATTGAACAAGGACAAGGGCTTTTTGTTGTTGTTGTTTTGCTGTTGTTTAGGTTCCACTGCATGATATTCAACTTGCCAATGTAACTGTGCCTGTATCATCATCGAGGACATCTGGAAACATTTTACACCCAGTATGTTTAAGATAATTATTTCTATTTGAACTTTCCGCATTTAAATTCCCTCCAACCTTACAATTTACATCCTCCCTGCACCTTAAACCTGAATGTATAAGTGTTAATGTGATCTTAACAATTGAAGAATTTGATGAAGACAGTCTCGGAAATCTTACACTATAATAAAACGTTAGTCTTTCAAGTGCCACAGGATTCTGTTGTTTTTATGACAAATGACTAACAATGCTTACCCCTCTAACATATAAAAACTGTCTCAGAACATTTTGATCTGCCATAAATAACACTCTTTGAACAACCTTAGTGACTGTCACAGAAGAAAACAACTATAGAACCTAATTTGAAAAAGAGACAGCTAAGGTGCATACATAAGTTAGAGACCATGTCAAAAGGTTTAAACTAGACATTATGACAAATATAAAAATGAATACCGATATAAAATGAATATTGCTGATTCATCAGATATTCGTTGCTTCATATTCTTCAGCTCCAGAGACCCCGATGAATACAAAGCAATGAATATAACCCTTTTATATTCTACCCTTCGTCCATCCCTGTCTGCTTATGCCCCCGCAGATCAGCTGTTCCTCGGGGCATAAGCAGAGGGGATTTCCTTTTGGGAGGTTTGCTAAAGTCTGCTAGAAGGGAATTCCACCACCCCCCTTTACAAAGACGGAGGGGGGGGGGTTGCTTTGCTCAAGCTTCCCTTGTCTTTCTATTCACTTGCAGCATAGACAGGGTAAGCTTGACCAAAGTAATTCTCCCCGCTGTCTTTGCAAACAGTGGGGGTGGGGGATCACTTTGATCGGGCTTCCCCTTTCTTTCTATGCCCGGGTGGGCATAGAAAGACAAGGGAAGTGCGACCCAAGCGATCCCTTACCCTGCTGTTTTTGCAAAGGGAAGATTATCGGCATTTAGTATAAAGCTATGATCCACTATGATTCCTCGGGCCAGGCATATAAAGACAGGGGAAGCCTAACTGAAGAGCTCTCCCGCCCCCACTGACTTTTCAAAGACAGCGGGGGTGGGGGATCACCTGGGTCCCACTTCCCTTCTCTTTCCATGCCTGCCTAGGCATAAAAAGAGAAGGGACCCATGGGCTGTCTTTAAAAAAACGGGCAGACAAACTGATTTGTGGTTTGTCAGGCCACTGGGGGGCAATTCATGGGTCGTGGGTTGTCAAGGTTGACGACCCATGAACCAAGATGAAGTGCCATTTTGGTGCTTCATCCCCACCTGTAGTTTAAATATCAACCAAAGATTCTCAGTTCTTTACCAAGTGTGAGATCCTACATTGGTTTCCACAGTTTAGCACTGGTGTCAATAAAACTATTGTCATCTTGTAGACTCATATCCAGTACCTGCTAACTGAATTATTTACAGCTTGATAGTTCCATTCCTGTACTACTGAACCACTATCTGTATCTTCAGCTGGTCAGAGGGATATATACAGGTCATACAGCCTCACTTTAATTATCTGAGGACTTGATCTATGAAAACTCATATTAAAATATGACAGCTAGTCTTTAAGTTTCCAAAATGTATTTGTCTTTTATTTTGGTTTTTTTGTTTCTCTTTTTTGTCAAAAGTGCTTGCACACAGCAGGGCAGATATGTGGACAGATAGCCTTGTGTATTATTGTAAGATGGATTCTCGCTGAAAGTTGTCTTCAGAATGTCACAGAAGGGCTTCTACAAATCATGCAAATATGCAAATTTTGATGTGGATTTCTTTAAAAACTGTTAGCACTTTGAGGATTCATCCTTGTATCTTTAAAATAGAAGAACTCGCACATGGGGTACTGCATGTACACAAATTAATATTTTTACAGAAATTATCTGATTCTGTTTAGATAGGAAAGAATTGTGTCATAAGACCTGGAAAACTACTGAAAGTTCAATGCATTCTAGGACGAAAAAAAGTAGTGCAAACGTTAAAGGCTTTCCAAAATATGTCAAACTGCATAATAATATGCAAAATCCAGTTAGCATTTTCAAAATTAAATAACGTATTTGAGTTATATAACCACACCACCCTTCTTCAATCTGAGGCCCTTATATTTTGGGTTACAACCTCCATACTCTCCCACCATTAATTACAGTGGCTGGGACTGATGAAAGCTAACATCCACAATACCTCCAGAACACGTATGGGAAGACTGTCCATATTCAGAGACAAAGAACTATCACATGTAAGAGACACATGTAAGTTACACACTGAAAATTCAAAGTGCACCTATAAATTTTATGGCACACTGGTAATTCAAATCAGATGTTACAATATTTCCAAATATGTGTCAGTGTCTTCTTTTCACTCAATGCTTTGTTTTATGTTCACAGCTGAATAAAACATTTTCTTCTCTCAAGATTTCTCATCTCCCCTTCTACACCCACAATAGTTTCAGTATTACTTCACTACCATTAAATTCATGCCGCTCAGTTAGCATTTAACTTAACCACTCCTATTTTTCACCAATTTGGCCTCAATACACACTTGGTGTTAAGAAAAATGATACTACTTTATAATGAATGAGACCAGAGTGTAGAGCATTCTGCAGATACAAGAAGACTATAACAAACTAGAAAGTCCTTCTCTTCTAATGCTATATACTGTGGGATGCAGAAAATCTATAGCTAGATTATTCAGTCATCAATCTATGATTACAAAATCATTTTTAAAGAGGAATCTTATTATATGAAACATCCTTCTCCCAGGTGTCATAATACACACAGACAATAAAAAGCTCTAAATATGTATTCTACAAAAACACAAACCTGCACTACCAACCAGGCAGCGTTATGAGTGGTGGTAATTTTCCACCTGG